GAAAAACTGAAGAATCGAATAACTGAAAAAATAAACAAAAATAAGAAACAGAAACTAAAAACTGCAAATCGAAAAATTGAAAAATCGAAATATTCTAAAATCGTAAAATTGAAGAAGGAAACAATTTTAAAAACTATGATCAATTATTATTACAATTTACAATGAAACCAGAAAAATTTCGAATCAAAAATTCAGGAAAAAAAACTGGAAAATCCAGAAACTGAAAAAGCGAAGAATTAAAAAATCTAAAAGTTGAAAAACTGAAAAATTGCAAATCGAAAAATTACAAAATGAGGACATTGAAAAACCGAACATTGAAAAAATAAAGAAAATAAAAAACCAAAACGAAAATGGCAAATCGAAAATTCGAAGAATCGAAAAATTGAAAAAATAAAAATTGAGAGCTTTAGAAATCTTAGAAAAAAAAATGAAGGACTGAAAAATCGCAGATCGAAAAACTGAAGAATAGAATAACTGAAAAAATAAAAAAAAAGAAACAGAAACGAAAAATTGCAAATCGAAAAATTACAAAATCAGGACAGTGAAAAATCGAAAATTGAAAAAATAAAGAAAATAAAAAACCAAAACGAAAAACGGCAAATCGAAAATTGGAAGAATCGAAAAATTGAAAAAATAAAAATTGAGAGCTTTAGAAATCGTAGAAAAAAAATGAAGGACTGAAAAATCGCAGATCGAAAAACTGAAGAATAGAATAACTGAAAAAATAAAAAAAAGAAAAAGAAACGAAAAATTGCAAATCGAAAAACTGAAAAATCGAATAAATGAAAAAGTTTTAAAATCCAATAATTGAAAAATGTAAAAATTCTAAAATCATAAAATTGAAGTAAATAATTTTAAAATTTATAATTATTATTACAATTTACAACGGAAACTAGAAAATTTTCAAATCAAAAATTGAGGAAAAAAAAACTGCAAAATCCAAAACTAAAAAAGTGAAGAATTAAAAAATCTAGAAGTTGAAAAATCGAAAAATTGAAAACCGAAAAATTTCAAATCGAAAAATTGAAAACTAGAAAAATTAAAAATTTTCAAACTGAAAAAAAGAAAAATTATAAAATGAGGACATTGAAAAACCGAAAATTGAAAAAATTAAAAAAATACAAAATCAAAACGAAAAAAGGCAGATCGAAAATTCGAAGAACGGAAAAATTGAAAACATAAAAATCGAAGCGAAAACAGGCAAATCGAAAATTCGAAGAATCGAAAAATTGAAAAAATAAAAATTGAGAATTCTAGAAATCCAACAGAAACAAAAAAATGAAGGACTGAAAAATCTCAAATCGAAAAACTGAAGAATGGAATAACTGAAAAAATAAAAAAAAAGAAACAAAAACGAAAAACTGAAAAATTGAATAAATGAAAAAGTTTTAAAATGCAATAATTGAAAAATGGAAAAATTCTGAAATCGTAAAATTGAACAATTTTAAAAACTATAATTAATTATTTTTACAATTTACAATAAAGAAAAAAAAACTGGAAAATCGAGAAACTGAAAAATCTAGAACCGAAAAAGTGAAGAATTAAAAAATCTAAAATTTGAAAAATCGAAAACTCCAAAAATCATAAAATCAGAACATTGAAAACCGAAAATTGAAAAAATAAAGAAAATAAAAAACCGTAACGAAAAAAGCCAAATCGAAAATTTGAAGAATCGAAACATTGTAAACTGAAAAATTGCAAAACGCAAAATTAAAAACTCCAAGAATTGAAAATTTTCACATTTAAAAAAGAAAAATATAAAATCAGGACAGTGAAAAACCGAAAATTGAAAAAATAAAGAAAATAAAAAACCGAAACGAAAAATTGCAAATTGAAAATTTGAAGAATCGAAAAATTGAAAAAATAAAAATTGAATAGGTACTCCAGAAATTTTAAATCGCAAAATTGCAAACTCTAGATATCGTAGCAACAAAAAAATGAAGGACTGAAAAATCGCAAATCGAAAAACTGAAGAATCGAATAACTGAAAAAATAAAGAAAATAAGAAACAGAAACCAAAAACTGTAAATCGAAAAACTGAATAAATGAAAAAGGTTTAAAACCCAATAACTGAAAAATAGAAAAATTATAAAACCGTAAAATTGAGGAAGTAAACAATTTTAAAAACTATAGTAAGTATTATTGTTACAATTTACAATGAGAACTAGAAAAATTTCTAATGAAAAATTGATGAAAAAAAACTGGAAAATCGAGAAACTGAAAAATATAAAACTGAAAAAATGAAGAATTAAAGCATCTAGAAGTTGAATAATTGAAAACCGAAAAATTGTAAATTGAAAACTGCAAAAATCGAAAAATTTCATAGTGAAGAAAAGAAAAAATATAAATCAAGACATTGAAAAACCGAAAATTCAAAAAATGAAGAAAATAAAAAGCCGAAACAAAAAATCGCAAATTTGAAGTATCGAAAAATTGAAAAGATAAAAAAGTGAAAACTCAAGAAATTGTAGAAACAAAAAAAAAATGGAAGCCTGAAAAATCGCAAATCGAAAAATTGAAGAATCGAATAACTGAAAAAATAAAGAAAATAAAAAACACAAACGAAAAATTGCAAATTCAAAAGCTGAAAACTCCAGAAACTCAAATCGAAAAATTGCAAAATCGAACAATACAAAATCTAAAATCTGGAAAATTCAGAAACTAAAAAATTTAAACTTAACTTTTTTATTGAGGATATCAGAAAACAAAAATCGCAAACAATATTTACAATGTTTCAAATAAGCGGGATTTGTAGAGCTGTACTTCAGGGGTGAGGAAAATTCTGTCAAAATAACCTTTGGCCCATTTTTTACGTTATATATTCGTTATGACCATTAAACAAAGCTTCACGCTTAATCAGAAACAATGCTTAATCAATATTTTTTTCACAATCTATCGCTTATGTTAACAAAGAAACATTATTCATGAAGTTTTTTTAGCAAAACAAACAAAAAACAATTTTAAAGCCTGTAAAAAATTTAAATCTATTCAACATCCTCTACAAAACATTTTTCTTGTCTACCTCTTTCCACTACACCTTCTCCAGTCGTCAACATATCTAAACCACGACCTCTTCCGACAGCCAAAGCCGGCTTAATAGGTGAACGAGCGATAAAAAACCACAGCGTAATTCAGCAGCTCGCGATTATCTCTCCGATTAACTCAACACTTAAAAGTCATCACTGACACAAAAAACAGACCGAATCGATGCGTAACCGACTTAGAGAAATGCAAAGCTAGAAAGTAAAGTGACATTCTATCATTCCACCAGCACGACAAAGAAAGCCGTACCAAAAGTGCACAAAACAGAAAAAAAACTAAACTCCAGAACGAAGCAAGAAGGATAAAACGACCACATCCGGAATTCTGTTCCGGCAGAAGGCGGACATGTGGTCTCCAGGTTTAAATGCTTGTTTGGAGCACTTTCCACAGTTCAAATAAACGATTTGTTCGAACGGGCTTTTGTGGAAGTGTGAAACGGAAGATCTAGTAAGGGTGAAATGTGATAGCCGTGAGGGTCGGATTAAAATAGGGGTTAAATTATCGGGGGGTTATTTGACCGCCATGGGACGTAATGATGCGGAGAATGGGTTCGGGATTTTTTCGAAGTGGAGATGGGGAAAGCTGCAAGATGATACTTTCATCATAAGAAGTTTGCCGGGTTTCAAATGTACTTAATTATATAATACTTCGTTTTGTGGAATACAATGATTAGCGGACTTTTTAAAGTAATAACCACTTAAAGCCACTTTAAGAATTCAAATGACCAATTCAGACGTTTCTAAAGATAAATCTCTTTCAGTTATTCAAATTAAATAACAATGGAAAGTTGTCGATCTCAAATTCACTTTCAGTAACAATGATTATTATTGGGACGTTGACGCCTTTCAATGACATTCAATGAAGTAACGTTTTCACTAGTTTAAAGTACAACTTTCCTTGGAGCCACTAAAACGTGATTACATTTTTACACTTGATTAATTATTATTAACAGCTCCATAAAAATATCAAACCTATTGAAAACCTGTACCTTTCAAACCACTTCGCTGGGAAAATACGACATTTTGCAGTATAATGTTAACATAAATGTTGTTAATGGCGTTGTGAACTTGAATTAGTGGACTTTCTTGGATTTAATCTGCAAATTTACATCTATACTGACACTATAAGCCCATAAACAAATGAGTAACATGTTTCAGTACATAAGGCAGATAGAAGTTCAAATGAAAGGGACAGAATGCTATTATGATTCTTATGTTCAAATGAATAAAGTCGGAGATTGAGCTACCTGGGCCATGTGGTTCCAAAAGTGGACTTTAAGCATAACGCTTACAATAAATCAAGCAAGCCAAAGTGCAAAGGAAATCACATGACAGTACTTTTATTTGTTAAGTAATTAAAACACTGTTAATTCAGGAACTAACTGCTAACACTGACGTCACCAAATTTCCTTTAAAATAATATCCTTTACACTCATTAACCTTCAGTTTGGAGTTAATTCAGTAAAAATACTGCCTTCAGATACTCATAATTATTCAGAAAGGGATTATCACATTCATTATGGTCAGTGTTAAGCACAGATGAACATTTGTGACAAAAAATATGTACAATGCTACTTATTTTCGAGTCTAGTTAAATCATTGGTAAGAAATATGTTTCATCATAGAAATTCTTCGCCTCTAAGAAATAATCAAACAATTTTGTTAAGGATAAACACATCAGTTTTAATATGTATAATACAACACTCTCATGGCATTGATCTATTTTGAAAATTTCAAGGAAATTAATAGATCGTTCCTAAAATATAACAGAAAAATTGGACGAACCGTTTATTATGTTAGATGACATAATCAATTTTTTTTGTATCTTTCACGGGTGTGTCTGTAAACTGTTTACTACATTATTCACATTGTTTATGAGTGAAATTATAGTAACAGTGACCCCCACTCCCCAATGACTGTTACGCCCTTGCTTTCCCCACAATAAAAAATAAAAATTACCTGGCCATGGGGAGGGCGTGCAGTTTCTGGGGAGCTCGGCATTTTCCACACTTTTTTATCATTCCGCTTAACGTTTCGCCCGTTTTCGCCGTCTTCGGAGTCTTAAATCAAAAAAAAAATTCAATCAATAATACTTGTCGTAAATTTAAACCCGCACTAAAAACCAGACACTACTCACCCAAATCAGCTGTAATTCACGATAAACAAAAAGCCGATCACTCACAATTAATTTAAACAAACATTTTCACATTATTTACAATTAAAAACTAACGCCATTTATAAACAAAACTGACAGCTGGTCCATCTGACTGACGCCAGCGCCCCCATCAACTGTCAAATTTGAAAATGGTGAAAATCAAATATTGCACAATCAGATTAATTTCCGCTGCTTTTATAGACCTGCGCTGCTGAAAAATAATGTAAATTGGAAAACCTGGTGGCTAGTGGAAATTTTCAAATGCGGGATAACATAACCTCAAAATGTTGCAAAGGGGCTGTCGATTGTTGCGTAAATTTTCAACAACGGGGGTGGTTCGAGCTAGGATTCGGTGGACAATGAATGCAGCGTTTGGGAAGTATTTATTAGCCACTAATACTGTAAGTTCTGGCGTACTTATGCTTTTGGGAGACTTAACCGAGCAGGAATTGCACCACGATATTGAACAGGATGATTCTCCGAGATACGATTTCGCGCGACTTGGTAATGACAGTTTAATTGTGTTCTCAGATTTCAGGGTTTGTTTTTAGCTAGGATGTTCACTGTTGGTTTGGCTATGGGGCCCGTGCACCACTATTACTATGGGTATGTGAATAAACTGTGGCCTCGTCGCAACTTGAATAACGTTTTGAAGAAAGTTTTAGCTGATCAACTTGTTATGGGTCCTATTTGTATTCTACAATTCTTCTATACAATAGGGGGTTTAGAAATGAGACCTTTGAAAGATATAAATCAAGAAGTGAAGGCGAAATTTTTCACAGTGTATGCGGTGGGTTTTCTAATTTTTGGTAATATAGGTTTGATCATGTGAGTGTTTTTTAGATGGATTGGTGTATATGGCCCCCTACACAGTTTATTAATTTTTTTTACGTCCCGCCCAGGTACCAGGTTATGTACGTTAATTTTGTGACAATGTTGTATGATGTTTTTTTGTCATTTGTGAAGCATGATTTTTGATATAGGGGGTAATTAGGAGACAAATTAATTTAATGGTATAATTTAAGAAATCGGAGTGTACAGTCGGTAATTGTAGTGGAATTTGATCATTGCTGTGACTAGATATGCAACCAAATATACACTGAAATGCATACAAATTTGTTTTTTAATTTTTGTAAAGTATGATGTTACTGACTGTAACTTTTTCCATTGTAATTTAAGATGATGAAAAAATATTGAATTTTCAATTTTCCTTCAAGTTAGTAGCAACCATACTTTATTGTCATTAAATTTGAATTAAGGACGTAATGAGTGACCTTAAATTTACTGGTTGTGCCGCTGGGGCGCTACAACTCGACAAATTTTCTTTAGTAATGGTACGACTCTGTGATTATCATTATCGTATAACAGGGTAATGTACACAGGGATCCGATTTGGTTGGCAACATTTTTTGCTACGTTGTTCAACAAGTTGTATTTTTGTATGGTGGTCAAACCAATTTTAAAGTTGTAAGTTAGGCTTTTTCTCCTCTAGGAAGCCAAACAGTAATTTTAAATAGTGTGAGCAGTCATTTTCAAAGGTAAGTGTTAAATTTTATTCCACTCATCACATTGTCATTATAAACGCAAATGTGTAAGTAACGTAAAGTCAGCTCCTTCATAATTAACCGTATCTGTCATTTAAAAAAATAGTCACATTTTCCAAATTGGCAACTCAGATTTATGAAGTTGACGTTGATTTGTTGTATGTCAATATAAAAACATTATGCGTCATCGGATGTCGTTCAAGGTACAAAAGTTGTACTTTTAGTTGATTATTGACATCGACACAAAAAATCTACCCCTAGTACTGTGGCGTCCAATTTGAAAAATTAAATTTCGAGCCGAAAAATCGCATTTGAAAAATAAAAAATTATCTTAAATTAGTGGGTTTGGTGGAATAGTGATAAAAATCACCCTTAGGTTGGTAGTTCTAGGGTGTTTTGTAAGACAGCGCAGGGCGCAGGTAGTTTTTAAAAGGGTCCATTGGGGGTGGGGTGGGTATTCTGTGCTCGGCTCGTGACCGCACTTGTTGTGATTTGTTGTTTTGGTGTTGTGAACGTAAGCACGTGCGAAAATTAGGTATGTGGGTTTTGTTTGTAATTTCACCAAAGGGCAGTTGTTTAAACAAAAATAGCGCCATTGGCCCCCTCAAGAAGTGTAATTAGTAAAAGACCAGTTATTTAACGATTTCTTCAATTTTCTTTTATTGTTTGTAAATTCACTGTTCATAGTTTTCATCTTTACATTTGAACGGATTTTTTACTCTAGTAATTTCACTGTTGTAGCATTCGTTACCATGAATCACACCTTAAGAAGCCGCCAATTAAATCCATGTGACGAACTATATTGGAAAAGTCGGGGATGGCCGCAGCGGCCCTATAATTGGCGAGGTAAAATTAACAATAAAAACAATGTAAAATAAACACGTAATTTTTTTAGAAATTTTAAACAATCCAATCCTGAACCCTAAAAATATCGAGTTCTGGACGGCAAGAGGATGGAACCATCGTCCTCATGACTGGTATGGTAAGTTTTCACTTGTTTGTTGTTCTTATTTTCTTACAACAAATTAGTTGATCACTTTTTTCAATAGCGCAGTGCTTCATTTTTCCTTTATTTTAGAACGAATATATGCTCATGATGACGAAGACACTGATGACGACGAGTCCGACATTTATAGCGAGGCAGATTATAGTGATGATGATTATTATTACTCTGATGAAGATGATTTTTACTACAGTGATGAAGATGAATCTGAAGAATGTGATGAAGACTATTACAGTGATCAGGATTACGATGAATATGAGGAGGAAAGATTAAGAAGTCTGCAAAACAATCCCAACAACGTGGAATATTGGCGCCTGCGAGGTTATTTGTCCCGACCCTCCAACTGGCGAGGTAAACAATGAAATTTCTCAGAATTAAAAATATAACAATTTTGTTACAGAACTTGCATACGGTTATTAATAATATGATACTCGATGTTGTTTTTTATAAATTTTTATCTAAATATAAGTATTTTTCTAACACCAGATGCGTCATTTCAAGCTTTCACGCACAACTTTTTTTTCACCTTTATTAATAAAAATCTTTTCGTTCAAAGTTGACCACTAGCATATCTTCTGCCCATGGCACACAAAGTTATTCTGATAAGATAACGTCAGGCCACAACCTGAAGCACAAAACACATTTATATTTTCCATAAAATCAGATGTTGTTATTTTATATGTCATAACTGATAACAAATTAAGAAGCCGACAGATAAATTGTATTTTAGGAATAAGGACATCCGAAACGACCTCTTAAATGGAGAGTAAATATGCTATAATCATTCTACAATACAAAAAACAAAAAATGCACAATATTCTAACGCAACTTAGGTACGTTATTTATTCTCCCAAGTAACTTTCTCGTTATTTTCAGAAAGTGAATTTAATTTACAAAGTTGTAACAATATTAGTACCAGATGGTAACGCAATGTGTAGATGACGTGCAAGGTAAAAAAAAAATTGAAATTTATAAAATAATTTTTCAGTTTTTACAGAGAAAGTTTAACTAGTACTGTGGCAAAGTAATCATGTTTATGATCATCACATTTATACAAATTCTGTTGTCGACCTTATTGGGGATAACGATATCGGTGATACAAATTACAACAACTACTGTGTCTGTGATGTACCAGTTCGTCGTAGTTGTTACTAGTGTTTTAAAATTTTTACTCTGGACTGTTTCTGATGGAGAAATAACTACTAAGTAAATCGTTGAATTGGATCTAGTATGTTGTAGCAACACAAATGATCAATTCTGTGACTTGTGGGAATTTTAATAAAGGCATACTTTAGTCTGCGTCAAAGCATATTTTAGCTAAAAATAACATAAGCACCAATTAGCGACTCAAACACTGACCTTCCTTTGCCATTTCATTGATAAACCTGCATATACCAAACCACGCAGTTTTTCTAAGTCGTTTCACTTCGTCCGATTCCGTACTCACTCGGATCCGGAATTTAAGCGTTCTAACAGCTTAAAAACTTTCCACTTGCTGCTGGTCAGTTATACCACGTTATACGCTACGCATCCGCAATAAGAATGAACAACAGTTTGAGGAGTCCGGAGACGAATCCTTGCGATGACCTATTTTGGAAAAGTCGCGGATATCCCGAGAAACCCCGAAACTGGCAACGTACGTACCAATAAAACCTAAACAAGCGTTTATTTAAATTTTTCATTACAGAACTTTTAGAGGCCATGGATTACCAAACCGACGAAAGTGACCGTAAGTAAATATGCAAACATTGCGCAACTCGCATAATTGCATTCACAATAATTCAGAAAGCAGTTCTGAGACGCAATTTTCTTCCGACTCTGACACAGAATCAGACAGCGAATACGAAGAGCATCTTCAAAATAACGAAAACAACAAAGACCAGTTCTGGGGGTCGAGGGGGAGGTCTGAACGCGCTTGTGACTGGCGAGGTAATCGTCGACTTTGTCAAAATAAAAATTAATTTCATGATTTTCAGCACGCATCAACCTTAATCACTAACCAATACATAAAAATATAAAAAATTTAATTGTACTTAATCTCGTATCTTATAAATTACTTAATAAATAACAATATAAATTCCTAAATATCATGAATCCCTTTCGCCGTCCCTTATCACATTCAAAACGTATTTAATAGTGTCGATATCGTCGCCGGGTATCATTTCTGATGATAACTGATAGTGTTTCAAAACCTGGTGCAATTGGGCGTCGAGTTTAGCGGCTTTGAAAACAATCTTGGCTTTTTGGTTGTTGGCTGCTAGAGACCACATTATTAGAACGACCATCGACTTTTCTTCCTTGTTTCCATATTCCAGTTTATTTTTGAGCAAATTTAAAAAATCATCTAGAAATATACATTACAAACTAAGCTGTACCAAGTAACCTCATACCAACCTGAAGTTAATAATCGCGTTCGGTTCGGTTGATAGAACGCTACATTTCGCAGCACCGTTAAAGCCTGACTCCTATTAGTCACCTTGGAAGCTGAAGTTAGCGCCAATAGCAAATCAAAAACGTCATTAATTTTGGCCACACTCGACTGCCCTTCAGGATATAACGTAAACGTCTGCAGAAACTCCAACCACAGCAATTCTACCAAATCCCACGGTTTTTGTTTTTTAGTAATGGCAGGGTGCAAACGCGAGACACTGGTCAATAAAGTACTCTAAAACCAGAAGTTTTGTACAGTTGGCAGCAATAAATCTGACAACAGCTTTTACTTTAGAGATTATTATGCGGCACTCCAACACTGAGCAGCAATTCGTCAAAATCCCGAAACACAGCTTCAACACCCCCAAATTGTGAGTTTTACTCACTTGGTCCATTTCTTTCTCCACCAAACCAATAACAACATTTAAAAGCGAAATTTTACTAGGAATTTTCCTGGGTCCGCTTCCCGCCACCGAACTCGTCAGCGGCAGCGACTGACACGCTAAAACTCCAGCTCGAGTGGTATTCGCCACGATTATTAACTCACCTATCGCACAGTCCGTGGTAAAAGTACACAACATCCTCAACACATCCACCAAATGAGAGTTTTGCAAAGCAAACCAAACCCACAATTTGTGGACGAAGTCGCTCAAACCCAACTCCGCGAATTTGTTCTTCACTGCTCCATCCCCCACCATAAAATTGGTGACCAATCCGACTAGTTCGTTCAGCTCTTTGAGCACCGGACAAACCCTTTTCTTCTCCAAGACTCTCCTCAAGCAATCCACCGACTCTAGACTCAACTTTACGTAAAACTCCTTCATTTGTTTAATAGTGGCGGTCGGTAAACCTGCTTTCAAAGCGTATTTTTTGGCCTCGTGCGATACGCACAGTATCGACGTGAGTGATGACGTAATCATCGACTTTTTGCGAAGCAAATCTTTGGATACTTTTAAGTTGCATAAGTCGTATAAATTTAGAAGGATCTTGCAGAGTTCCGCTCCGGCTACGGTTTCGGTGACGATGATCACCGAATCGTCGCTTCGGTCGGTCTCGGGCGTCGTCGACACAGTGCGAACTGTGTCGAGCAGGTTTTGCATCGAGGAGTCACGAGTTGAGGGTGGTTTTTTGAAAATTTGTTGAGATTCGACGCTCAAAAGAGACGTAAGAGATAACAAAGCGGAATTTTGTAGATCTACAAGTCACACGTTTTTACAAATTAGAACAGCATTTTTCATTTTTTACCATTAAAAGCTAGACTTTTCGTTGCTTCGCAGACCGTTTCAATGAAGGCTTCTCGCCCCGAATCTTCAATTGTTTGCGATAATATACGAAGAGCTTCGTCTGAAAGCTCGGTTTGAGTTTCGAAAGTTGTCAGAGCTGATAAAAGTTTGAAAATTTCGCTCCACACTCGATTCCGTAAATATATCAATTGTGGAAGATGTGTATCTAAAAAAATATATTATTAATAAATAACGTGACCTTGACCAATTTATCAAATCAAATCTACAAATCACCTAAATATGTTTATAATGGCCAACCAAATCAACCATTACCAGTCATTAAGGCCACAATAGGAACAAACACCAACGAATTAACCGGAAACTGTACCACCGCAATTACCCTACAAAACCCGGCGCAGATAAAATCATGATCCAACTCGGAAATATTAATGACTTTGGGCATATAAAATCAGCGCGTTGCTAATGGTAACATCATAGTACCACCATGCAACTGACAAGTGCTCTCGTGATTGTTTTGTTCGCCGTATCAAGTGTGAGTATCAGACTGACTTAAGTACGAATAACTAATAAGTTTCACACAGATGGCGCAACGAAAAGTCACTATAACAAAATTCGAAAACTGTGACGCCAACGCCGACTACCCTATCAAAATGTCGTTCAAAATAAAAGAAGAGAACGGCGTACAAATCCTGGAGGAGGGTAGTGTTTCCAGTAAAGTGGCTCTCGGGAATAACATTAAGGTAAACCATTACCAACTGTATCCCAACAAAACTAAAACCTCTTTCAGGACACTGCTGAAGTGTTCGCGATGGAAAGTGGTAAGTGGGAACATCTGATCACCATTAATGAAAATCTGTGTGACGCTGTGAACAAATACATGGGCGAGTTTATGCACGATTTACAGGAAAAAGCAGGACTTGAACGTGGAGCTTGTCCAGTGCCTGCTGTAATATCAACACACGTTTTTCCGACATTATCTAATTTATCTACTTCTAGGGTGACTACAAAGTTGAACAGCACACCCTCGACTTTGGTAATTTCAAATTCAAGAAAATCCCGGAGGGTGAATTTAGGGTGAAGGTGACTTTAGTTGATAACACGTCTAACGAAACTCTTCACTGTCACTTCCTCGAGTTTAAAATTGAAAAATAATTGTGTTATAACCTGTGTAATTAAATAAATATACTTACGATATCTACTGGGGTTTAAGAGTGACACCACAACTGTTAGACAGTCCTTCGTGTGCAACAGAGTCCCCAAACAAGTGAAATTGGCATTGGCCACTTGACTCAACAGAGCGCAAACGGTGGCATTCATTTCCAAAATTTCGCAATACAGAGACAACTTTTTCGTGTTGTTTATTGCAATCAAGGTGTTGCATATACACTTAAATAGCAACTTAACGACACCAAAATCCACTAATTTGTAACTCAGTCGGTCTTCACTTAAGTTAAGTAGGCTTAAAAGTAAGGTTGCGAGAGACTTGACGAAAGATGGCGTCACAGGCGAAAAAATCACAGTCGTACGACTGCTAGATGAATAATCGAATTGAGTGTTAGTTTCGACTAAATCTGTAGCACTTTTGGTGTCAAAGTTGCTCACACTCGTTGTGTACAGTCGGGTTAATATAGTCGCTACGTTTTTAAAAAAGAGATAATCATCTAAAAGATCGAAAATTGTGGCCACTTCATCTTTACCCTAAAATCAGTGATGATGTATGAAAGTCGATAATCGCTTCTACTAACCTTTCTCATAGTATTTGGAATTAGACTCGTCACTAGTGTTCTATCAGTGTGACTAACCGTGTGACTTAACAAATTGGCCAATAGAAACGCACAATTCTCGCGAACTATACTAGCTTCATCATTGTCCATCAGTAAACTCAAAGCTAAGTGCCACACCCCTCGATTCTCCTCTTTCAACTCTGAAAAAAAATTAACACACACTGACTATCAAAATCCATCAAACTAACCATTAACCATATTTATTGCCAACATAGGAGAACTCGACAACCCTGCAAAAAACTGTAGAGCTCCAGCACGTAACAAAACGTCTCTGCTGGACCACAACACCAGAAAACTCTTCAACCACTCCTGTTCTTCCACGTCCATAAAACATCGTTCCCAATTCTTCATTTTCGAGCTCTGCATTTCAGCTATCAAGTGATTCAGTATTAAAATAACATTCCGAGTTATGCTTAAACCCATCACTGAAACGGTGGCAGTCGGACCTTTGCCACAATGAAACACCACCACTAATTCGCATAACGAATCGACCAACTCGAAGAGGATTTTTTTAGGGGGCGAACTCGGTTTGGTGTCACTCCAGCCCAAACTGGCCGTGAGGTGAACCAAACAGGTCAGCAAATTGTCCAAATAGGCTACAAACGCACGCTTTGACAGTTGTAACAAATTCACAGTTCTACTTACACAGGTTGTAAAAATGAGTGCTGTCGTTAAATTTAAGACTGTTTGAGATTATTTCGATGACGTTGCGCCACGATTCGATGTCATTTTTTGAAACTCGGTGGTTGGTGTGGTTGTAATAATCCAAAAAATGTTGCTCTTGTGAGGAACATAATGTTATGAGAGTCAGCAAGTCTTGACTGAGTGTTTTAAAATCTTCGTTCGTGGACTGTTCGACAGTTATCAAGTCGAGGAGACAGTTTGAGGGGTTTTTTAATAATTGTGGCAACCAGAAAGAGTCTTCTGAAAAATCAAGTTATATGAAAACGAGTGTGATCTGATTAAAAATAATAATAATAATAATAATAGCAATAACGTGGCAGCCGCTAGGGAATCCCCTTATATGTTTTCAACCAAGTTACCAAGTCTACCAACATTACACAAATACACCAAATTCAAGTGTCCTTGCGATAAGACGTTCTATGAAATCACTTGTCAAAATGATAAAATTCCGTCAACTTAGTTAACATGTCGCAATTCTACTACAACTGTTTTATTTTTGTGAAATTCTTGCTCTTAGTGCCAATATAACCTCAAAAATGGTGAACTGGTACGCTGTAGGTTTAGCAGCCGCTTTAGTCTACATTGTGCCCAAACGCTACTTTATACAAAAAGTATTAAATTACTACAGGTTTAGATCGTTAAATATGCCCCCTAAAACCATAATAGTGCTTCTGGACGACATCGGTAAGCCATAACCTCACTTTTCGCACCTTTTCAACCACTCATTTTCAGGCCTGAATTACGAAAAAGCCCGACTTTACGCCAAAAAAAGCGCCCGTATAATAATCGGTGGCCAAAATCGCATCAAGATCGAAACCGCCCGCAAAGAACTAATCCGTCTGACGAAAAATAAAAACGTCATTTCAATTCAAGTGAATCGCTTTGATAAGAACTCGCTGAAGACGTTCGCACAAGAAGTGATGGATTCGGAGGTGGCAGTGGACGCTATTATTAACAACACGGGGAAAGAGTTATCAGACTTGGACATTATTTTTAAAACGCAAGACTTAGCTAGGGAACGTTTTGAGAACCACTGCTTGAATTTTTTGTATGTGGGGTTACCTGATGACTTATAGAAGGGTGCTAAGTACTTTAGAAACTTCAAAACGTTGCTTAAGAGTTTGGCGTCTTCCTCGCTGGATGGAAGGATTTTTAAAAAACGGGAAAAAGTGGCTTCCCATGGATGCTCAAAAAAGGTATCGCGTTTGGGTACTGCTGTACATAATTGGACATACCTGAAATGTGATTTTTATATTATAGTAACAAATAAAAACCGACTTACGTTGTTAGTTTGTTAATTGAGTGGATGACGAAGTCGTGGACTGTTCCGTTTTGGATGTCCACTAAGTGTTTTTGGATGTAGTAGTCTGTGCTTGATGCTTTGAGACGCGATAAATCGTAGTCTTTTAGTTTTAACAAGTCGGTTATGTTGTTATCAGTATAGGTGACTTTTGTCCACCGTAGTAGTTCATCTAAACCCCCAAACATTTCACAATTCCACTGTATTTGGAGTGAACTTAGACACCATCGGTCCGACGTAATTAAATCCACAAGACTAGCCTCATAATACTGGCTAATCTCCCAGTGAGTGTCACACGTAAAAGGCACCTGTAACTTCTGACTGAGCAAATAGGGTACCGAAAACGTAGCTTTAGAAGGCGTCCCTTTAATAACATTGTTAAAAATCAACAAAAACAACAAAATAACAGCGTCCTGTTTGACTTTTTCTTCAGTAAAAAACATAAAAAGACTTCTTAAAATGTTGTAGAACACGTCGGCGTCCTCACACAAACTCTGTCTTGCACTAGTTTGGTAAAAACACACATTTTTCAATATACTAATCGCTGGAATGACCGAATCGGGATAATCGTTGTAGTTTTTTTCAACAAGAGCGCCTCTCATCACTTCTAGAACTATTTCTAAACCTCCATTTATCAAAAAGGTGGTGTGTAACAAAGGGTCTTCCATCATCACGCTGGTTTGAGTTAGGGCGGATCTGCGGATCACCGGTTCCACGTTCGGGGACTTCAAAAGCTCTAGAACTTGTTGCAAACTACTCGGCTACGAAAAATTTAAAAGTAGAAAAATAAATCACGTTTTCGGTGAGTAAACCTGATAAAAGTGCTGCGTTGTTCGAATTTTGTTGATGTCTATGATACGCTGAATTTGACACACGTGGGGTAGAGCTTTATCATACAAATTGTTGAGTCGTGGAAGCAGTTCTCTTGAATCGGTTTGAGTGGCCAGAAGCCAACACAAGCGCGAAAAAGCTTCTTCTCTCATAGAAGACTCAGGCCCAAAAAGAATAATTATGTTACCTTTAATCATCTACAAAAACAAAGTTAGGTGGCGCCCTCTACCATCTGTGACTGTTTACTTCGGTTTTAGGTAAATATAAAGACTCAGCCGTGTCGGGGTCAATCATATTCAACAAACTTCTCCCCAAAGACGACTTCTTGTTAGCATGACACAACAAAATGGGTAAAGCTCCAATCAAAGCTTCAATAATTGTGTTCCATATGTCTTCAGAAACGAGTATTTTGCACTTAATTATGTGAATTATAATGTCTTCTGAGTGGTTTCTTATTTGGGGGTTGCCACTAGTCAATCCGTGACAGGCCATTTCAACCAGAACCTTACACCGACATAGAAATAAAATTTGGGCACCTGGAACCCCCACACAGGAAGTGTTTAATTTGGGCCCGATTGCCGCAATTACTCGTTTCTGGCACAATTTATACGTTTCTTCTCTAACTGGTTCTAAATTGTGGCCCAACAATTTTAAAATAACAACTAAAATAAAAACCGAATGACTCCTCAGTCATCCCAACCCAAACACTTACACTCAAATTTTTCTAACAATTCTTCATCGTGCGGATATAGAGGAAGTTTGGTGGCACACAGTTCAACGACTCGCTTTACAAAAACCATATTTTTATGAAACTCGAGACTTGGTAGGGCCTTTTTTGCCAAATCAATCCCTTCATGGGCATCTAGGGCTTTCGAGTGTTTCATAAAATGGACGGCAGCGGTCATACTGTCACAAATTCGGTTAGTTTCGGTATACTTAACTAGCGAGTCGTTGTCTAAACCGATTTTAAAACTCTAAAAATTATCAAAATATTAAAACAACTTTAACACGTAGTTTGAATCGTTACCTGTACATAATTCAAGAGAGTGTTGTACAAATTTGGATACAATTTGGATAAAGTCACGTCTACTAGACTATTGGCAAGTGCGTTTTTTAGGTTTCTGGGTAAAATAAGCCCGGTTTGTGACAACGGGATCATTCTTGATAAAAAATTGGCACAATTGTGTAAAAAACATAGTTGAATAGCGCGAATATTTAAATCTGAATCATCACTGGTCGCCTCGATTCTTAAAATATAAAACTCAATCCAAGGAAACAATACTGGGTTAACAAAATACCTAAAATATTCCAACGTCGCGCCATAACTTATTAAAACGTCATTAATTTGTTTGCGGATTTCTAGAATCAAAGGAGTTCGATCATTCCAGACGCCAGGGCCGAAAAGAATTGTGACAAGATTTAAAAGTTCATCCAATATCGCTAAAGCTAGGTTAACCCCTTTCTAAAATGAAACAATTACGTCGGGAAATGGGCGGAGTTACAAGCAATTAAGGCGGGGCTTATAAATCAATCAGCGCGTGCAACTTACCTGGTTGTTTTTTCTTCTACTAGACTTAAAACTCTCCGGTTTTACACACAAATATTTAAACATACATTTAAAAGTTGAAAAACAATAGTGCGGGAACGATAGTTGTTGTGTTTTTAAGTAGTCTACGTTTTCGTATCTTCCAGAAATGTCGTCTGACTGGCCTGAGGCGGTTTTTCGAGAACACGAATCCGGGGTGCTTGATCTAGAATTGGCGTAGGAATAACCCTAGAAATAACAACAAATAAAAAAAATCGTGGCACAATTAAAACTTACATTTTCCTTTGTGGTGTATAGACAAGGGTCATTGAAGTAGTTAATTCTGACTTGCAACGCTTTAGTTAAATCAATTAAACAGTTTAAAACAGAATTCACAACTCTGGTTGAAGGACAACTATTAATTAAATCATGAAAACTCTGAAAAAAAATTATTATGGTCATAATAATAATAGGAACGACAATACCCACAAGAACAATGTTGGGTCGTTGCAAAAACACTTCCGCTGGAAAATCGTGCAACAAAATATTTGAGAAAAATTCAGCCGAATGAAGGAGGGACGCCGGTTGTGGTGGGTTTTTTAAAGCGTCTTCAATTGACTGCAGAACGTGACGGTCTGCTTCTATTAACGACTGCCACTTTAAAGGACAAATTGCGTCAATTAAAGGACTCCTGTCGCTTGACACAATTTGCGGTCTACAAAAATTTTTACAATTACACATATAGAATTAAGTGTGTAGTAATACGTGTTTCGTTGATGTACTGAACTGTCTTGTTGCACAAAACCCTCAATCGTGGTCGCAGTTGTCCCTACAGGTCTTCCACTAAAGTCAGACTGTCCCGTCCGGTAACTCAGCGGCACGTCAGTCTCCAGCGGTGGCACAACCACGGTATTGTCGTCCAATATTTGTAAAATTTCATCAAGATGAGGATAGTACCGTGGTTCAACATAAGTACGGATTTGTTTGACATCTTTTTTGAAAATGTGGGTCCCGTGGTGGTTCAGTAGAGTTTTGCCGCTCTCAGACTACAAATAAATAAGTACGAAGCAAACTAAGACAATCCTTACCTTTAAAATACGTTTGATAAGTGCAAAAACAAGCTCTTGTTTCGTGCATGGATCAAACAAAAACCAGTCAAACAACTTTGTTAAAATTTCTTTGCTTCTGGCTAGATCGTTGTCGAATTGGAAACCATGATCCAGTTTCGAGACGATGTTCAGAAGGGCCCGTTCGCGGATTTCTTGAATTTCGTGCCCTTTAACGAGATTAAGGTTAGGTTGGTATTTTGCGTACATCGTACACGTAGTACCTAATTTTTGTATATGTAATGAAGAAATACATTTTTCATTCATTGTAAAGTCTTGTACTTGTTTTTTAATAAAACTTTGTAAAAATATAAATCGCGCAGTTCAAAAATGTAAACAAACGTCACATGACAGCTGACAGCGACCTCTGTGCTGTTAAAGTGGCGCCCTCTAGCTAGATTGTTGCACGAATTTAAAAATTTATTATTTTAATAATTAATGACACACTATTATTTTTACACATTCATTTTAAAGCGCACTACGTAATTTCCACATTAAAACTCCCCAGGAAAATAAGTGGCAGAACACGAAGAGTTTGTACAAATCTTCTGTCGTTTTCACGTCGAATTGGTCCAAATTTTGGATGGAATTGACCACGCTAAGCAGAAAATCCTGGACGCCTTGCGTGAAAGACATGGTTTTTTGTTTACTTTGTCTGATTTACAATACAGTTTTTAGTTGTTTGTTCAACATTGACATTTTGGTGACGCAAACAGAGACGTAACGCACGAAAAAAAGTCAATTACTTTGTTTAAAACACGAAATTGTTGGATATCCCTTGTAAAAAAAATTGTTAGTCAGTATGACAGTTACACGCCTTCTCGATTGTTAGTAGTTTTTCTGCAAACTTTTCAGACATGTTTTAGTAATGACGAGTATGACAGTTCTGACAAGCGATGACTTGATTTTGGTGAAGTTGGTGTATTAAGGGGGCTGTCTATAGGAATACTTTTTATTAACAATTAGAAAAATATTTATAAAGAAATAAGATACTTATATACAATTTTAATATACAATGAGAGTCATAAATTCAGGATTACGTTGTTTACGCTGTAAAATTGAGTATATTTTTAGAACACGTGTTTAAGGCACTATAAAACTTCCTGTAAATACTCCAACAATGCTACAGTAAATATGAACGTTACAAAGCTGCCGAAAAACCGGTAGAATTTCCAAAAGTCCAAAATTCATATAAAATACAACATATGTACAAAAATACGAGTAATATTGAAACAGATCGATTTAGGCCGTCTCTAAAATCAGATCACATTACTAGAGTCCCTAAAACTACTATAAAAATATATTACAATATTTTACACAAAAAAAAACCCGACATACTGGATTAATCTTACACAAACTGTAATTACTATTATAAATATGTAAAAATGATGAGGCACATTTGGCAGTATTACTAACAGATCTATAAACTACTGTAATATAAATATTTGTTGTACAATACAGTTGTCAGATTCACTTGTTTGTGGAAATAAAAATTACAGAAATGTGAGTGAAAGCTTACTGTTAATTTGAATCTTTGGTCGTCCCCAAACTTTAAAAAATATCACATTTTTGTAATTTCCTACATTGTACTCGCACACGTTAAAATCGAGTCTTACGACTAATTAAACTTAGTCAGTCTTGCTAAAAATTGTGTCCTACACAGCCTATCACACGTCCAGTATTACAACAAGAGACTCTCCAAGTTCCTATGTAAAATAATCTCTTTTACATACTCGAAGACCACTTTAATGTTTTCGGTATCCACGGCGGTGGTGAAGTGGTGATACAACACCTTCTTGGACTCCCTCTTCACACCCGTGAACATCGCTAAAATAAACTCCTTCACATCGTTGATCGAATGCGGGTTCCCCGCAAACTGGGGGAAATACCAGTGGATGTTCGTCTCCGGGTTCGCCACCTTCTTCAACAACAAATCATACTTGTTAAGGAAAAGAATAACAGAAACGTTAATAAATATCCTGTTATTCACTATCGTGTCAAAAATGTCTCTCGACTCCTCCAACCGATTCGTTTTCCTGTCCTCTAATAATACTTGGTCGAATTCGGAAGACGACACGAGAAATAAAATCGAAGTCACTGAGTCAAAGCACTGGAACCACTTTTGTCTCTGCGACCGCTGCCCCCCCACATCCACGAACAAGAACGGGATGTTGTTGATGGGAATCTGGAACTCGGTGATTCCTTTCGTGGCTTTGCGACAGTAGAGAATGTCTCGGTGGTTGGGGATGTAGTCGTGACGGGATACCCTTTCTAAATTATTCAGAAAATATTCCACGGAATCGCTCTGCAAGAAAAAACAAACAATTTCATTAAATATTTGCACAGATCAAAGCGAATTGAGTTCATTTTAATGCATCCGATAACCCTTGCGCTTCATTTATTTTTCTTCGATGTTTTAAAAGTTTATGGGTAATTAAATCACATGTGTGTTGCACAAGTGGTTATCGGAAGAGGCGACCCGGGAGGTGTAAAAATGAGAAGTTGCGATTTTATTGGTGTTTTCGCTGTCATTATTAAGTCAATGTGTGGCCTTCACCTGATTAGGTCTGAGATTCCGAGAACTTGTTACGCATAAAAATTATCAGGGGAGATGCTAGGCATAAATTATTGGCTAAACATATTTTAAGTGATAAGAGATGAACCATTGTACTAAACTTTGATAAACTATAAAATTTAATTTTGAGAATTTCATTTTTACTTCCCGAGGGTAATCGAGTCCATTGCCACTTTCATATTTTCTCGATGTGTCATGACCTCCAGAGTACGAAAAAAACAGTATCCCGTTTCCGTCTGTCTGTCTGTCTGTTGTCTGTATTCATTTTTATTACACAAGTAATGTCGGCAACTACTGGATCGATTGTTGTCACATTTTGTATGTATAATAGGAACATCATGTAGATGGTTAAACGCTAACTAAAATCTGGCTAATCCACCACCAATGGGATGACCTTATCTTCAAAATTTGTAGTAAAGTTTTTTTAAATTTCATAAATAAGAAACGCATGTACTTGTGGTGTATGAATCCGTGTCAAATTTTCACCCTAGACATCCACAATTTTTGGAAAAATTTTAACCAATCACGGGCTCATATTCTACATTTTAATCCTATGTTAAATTAATCGAGGATTCACTATTTAATTTGCCTTCCATAAACTGACCCTAACTTTATGAATTTTTCAATTTCACGCTTGCAAATTTTTCAATTTACGGTTTCTTGAATTTTTCGTTTTGAAATTTTTCAATTTTGCAATTTTTCGATGTTATAATTTTTCATTCTTGGCGTCTTCAGTTTCTCTGTTTTTAATTTTTCGATTTTTCAGTTTTTTTTGTTTCCTCATTTTTCAAGTTCTTCATTTTTATTTATTTTTCATTTTCCCTATTTTTTAATTTTCATTTTCTTGATTTTATTCACAATTTTTTGTTTCATTTCCTTTATTTTTTCAATGTTTCCTCCCATTTTACAATTTTTCGTCCGTTTATTTCATTCTCAAATTTTTCAATTTTGCAATTTTTGGATTTCTCAATTATCCGATTTTTCGATTTTTTAATGTCCAGTATTTCGATTTTACAATATTTCTTTTTTTCAATTTTGTAGTTATTCGATTTGTAATAGCCATACTTTTAATCACCTAATTAACGTTATGCTTTGTTTAATTTGACAGATTTGTTTGCCTTTTTTTTATCATACGTGTAGCCTTTTTTCACAACAAGAAACTTAAAATATGTTGAAAATGGCAAATTTTTGTAGAGAAATATGTACTTTGCAATTACGCTCCGCTCCTCGGTCCAACGAATGAAAAATTCATCACAATTGAGACCGGGTGGGTGGGTGGGGTTTAAATTTTGTTTTTTGCTTAATATATAGAGTTTTCTTTTAACAACAGGATAGTTAACATGTTTTCAATTTCTTGTTGGGAAAAAAGACTTCGCATATTAAGAAGAAATGAAAAAATATTAGGCCCGCCCACCCACCCCTTCTCTATTGTGATGAATTTTTTATTCATCGTGAGCCAAAGGGTGAAGCTTATTTGCAAAATCCTCATTTCTCTACAAGAAATAATCATATGAAACATGTTTTTAAAAGGGTAGAATTTTCTAAAGAAATTTTGATTATATAAACTCCGCCTTCATCGTAATTGAGATCGGGGCGGGTGGGTGGGGTTTAATCTTTTTTTTTTTGTTTATGTACATAGTTTTCTTTCAACAATTTTTTGGCACAAAAAATAAGAGATATTATAATAAAAGACATGGTGTCAATATATTATTCAATGTATTTCTAATGTAAAAATTGAACCGTTCGAAAGTTGGAAAATCGGAAAACTGGAAAATGTAAAAATGAAAACTCGAAGAGGTATCGCAGAATAATTGTAGAAACAATAAAAATTGTAAAAAAAATTGAAAAATTGCAAATGAAAAAATTGACAAAACTAAAATTGAAAAAAAGTGAAATTGGAAAAATAAAAAATTATAAAATCGGAACACTGAAAAATTGTAAAAATAAAGAAAATAAAACACTGAAACGAAAAATTGCAAATGGAAAAATTAAAAATTGAAAACTCGAGAAACTGAATTCGAAAAATTTGCAAAATCTATAAATTGAAAAAATCAAAGTTGAAAAGTCAAAAAATTTGAAATCGAAAAAATGAAACAAAAAAATGAAAGATTGAAGAACTGAAAAATTACCATACTCATGATAACCTTAAAACATTCGGAAGAATTTGGTGTTGCAGTTTCCAAGTTAAATTCTAAAATGTTGTTATACAATTTTGGTAATTTTCCTCAGTTCATTAATTTTAGACACTGACTGTCTAATAAAATGGGCGACCTACTGTTTTATATTTTTGGGGACCTTAGCTTACGCTGGGAAAATATAAATTGTTGAAACCAAATAACAACTCTAAATTCCAGTCACTTTGTCCACATCTATGACTAGCAAAAGTGCCAGGCCTTTTCCTCAGCTACCAGTACAGACTTCGATAGTGACAGTTTAGGTTTTTTTTTTAATCAATCCCCTTTTGTGTTCGTTAACAAAAATTGATAGACTATATTTTTCAATGATAACCAATTACAATCCTCAACGCCAGATGTGCGAACTTGTTTAATCAATTTGTACATGTTCAGGTCAGAGATAATCTAACCTTTTAATATGTGAACAACGCAAAAATAATGTAAAACAATTGATATTAATAACGTTTTATTGAAAAAATAATAAAAACCATATTATTTGTTATCGAAAAACAGTAATCGCTTGTAACATGTGTACAACATTCAAACTTGATTAATTTAATGGAATTTTTCCCGGTTGCAAAAAATAATTTACGACAAAATTTAAACGCGATAATAGTTAATCAGGATGCATTTATATAAATTATGAGAAAGTACATATTTGGTTTCGCCGGAAATGATTCGGAATGAATAATCACATCCTACTTGACAATCAACGCGTGGTTTCTTAGTTATCTGTAAATCGTAGATATCTAAATCCAGTTAATGGTAACAAAATGAGGATAATTATTGTTCAAAGAATATCTGACGATGGTCGCTTTCGTGGCAAAACGGGTTAACTCAGGGTCAATATTTGACATCAGACGCAAAATTAGCTAGTTTGTTTTTGTACAATACCCATTAGTCTTTAGTAAAAGCATAATATTTTCAAAATTTAATTATCCCAGGAACAGACTAGGCATTAATAAAATCGATTTATTTTTCTGAAATAAAATTCCCAGTAGTTTAATTTTAAACACAGCTTCGTTTAGCATGACCTTGACACCAAAGGTTGACCTTTTTGGCAATAGTTGTGTTACACTAGTTTTTGAGGTAACATAACCACAAATAACAATGTCATCAAGCAAAATTACACCGTAACGTGTATAATAATACCAGGTATTTAAAACTTGTACCTTCTTAGAAATCGGTATAAATAAATGGCAATAATTCACAGAACAACGACGATTAAGATTCCCGAGTATAATACTTTTAGCACGCCACTGACTTCAACACAACATTACCGAGTTTTTCAGCACAGCCTATGACAAACGCAATCACCCAATTATGACTGACAAACTATGACCATTTATGAATTGGGTGTGAATTAAAGCACTTTACGAGCGTCTTTATCCCGCACCCCATCACCAAAAGGAAGAAAAATTAAGTCAAATTACATAACAGAGTCAAATTAATGAACAACTCGAGTGTTGATTAGATTAGTTTGTTTAAGTCTTTATTGCTCCATTAACAATGAGTAACCTCAACGTCAAAATAAATTTAGAGCAGTCATCACAATGAATCCACGTTATCGTTACTCTCCAAACATTGACAAACTGTGTCAACTGTAGTAAATCAGTTATTATTAGTCATACTAACCAATTGAAATTCTCTTCTTCGATCGAAGGCCCTCAGGATCCCCGTGTCCCTCCACAGCTTGCTCAACAACGGACAAAACTGGATGAACGTCCTGGAATCCAGCAGCGGGACGTTCAGCTGGAGCATTTCTTTGCCTAGAGAGGCATTCGACTGGTCCCCCCATGGAATCCCGAGTTTGTCCCTCGCGTCCACCAGGACCCGCATGCCCCTGATCACGTTCTGGTAAATGATCTGCTGGTATTCCATCACGAGCTCGCTCTCGAACTTGATCCCGTGGATTATTCTCATCTGTTTGAGGAAAGTCGATTTGCCACTCTCCCCAGCTCCCAGCAGTAACAGCTTCACTTGCCGTTTTAGGGCTTGCTTGTCTTTCTCAAGCATCTTGTCTATTTCCAGAGACTTGTATCGCTGCTCGATCTCTTCAGGGCTGAATTTAAACCGTAAACAACACGGACACGACCACATTAAAGTGGACATTTTTAATAAAACACTACAACTATTTCACTACATAGCTGTGCGGTGGAAGTGAACAGAATGGTTGGTACGCCTGCGCACTAAACGTCAAAGCTGGCCAGTGGCGTCACGCGTTCTTCGAGAAAAGGGGTGGGATGCAAATTGGGGATGATGGTGGGGGCGACGGGAAGGTCGCCGATTGTGCATAATGCGCGAATTAGTAATATTTGGAACGAAAATAAATGTTACGTCAGATGATTAGAAGACATTTATTTTAATCAAGCGCAACCTACATTTTTTGTTTCGAATTATTTAGAGAGTATTTATAGTTTGACGCTACTAGACGATGGATGAGTCAAATTGTAGTAAATAGTGTGAGCTGCGAACTCTTGGAAAATGTGGGAAATTAAGACAAGATTTTTCTTCTAACTTATATTTCTGACTATTTGTGAGATACGTACATGTTCAAACAGGTCAAGGATGACTCATTCTACCCCGAAATAATTATCTCTTAAATAAATAAATACTTAGTACTGCTTTACAACGGGGCGGAGAACACCCCACAATAACTAACTAATCTTATCTTAGAACACGATAGTGAAGTTGTAGGTAGGTAAAGATATCCTTCGAGACTATTAACAGTAAACACCATAAACTAGCCGACACGTCAACTTTCTTTTCCCAGTTCCAGAAAACGACATCCTAATCTCCCAAACTGGTATTTTTAATCACCGCAAAAATCGAATACGACGTTCTAATAATCTAAAATTTCTCCCATAAATATTATTATTATTGTCTAATTAAATACGAACATAAACGAACGTTTGGAGTGTCAAAGGTGCGAACTTCCCCACTGTCATATAAATGGGTTTCTGCATCCTGGTCATAGTAAAAATCATATTTCCTTTGAACGCCCGATCACACTCAAACCACTCAGCGCTCCATATGTAAAGAGGAATTTCGCTGGCCTGGAAAAAATGACTAATTCTCAGCAAACCACAACAACGCAATTAATTGCCTTTAAAGTGACTTCATTACCAAACCAGCAGTAGAGATAAAGCTGGAATCCCATAGCCACCATGTACACCATTTCGGCGTAAAATTGCTTGCTACTGGCAGGAGTCTACGGGGAAAAGTGATACACAAAATTATGAGTTTGATGACATTACCGTTGAAATTAAGTACAAGCAGGTACAGAGGATAAAAAGGGTGGCTGTTGCCTGGCCTAGGGTTAGGTATCGATGTACGTTTTCCAGGTCTTCGCACACTCTGAAATTCCAATTTTGATTGAAAAAATGTTACATGTATTTATGTGTAAAGTAAAGTATTTACTACTGCGTTTTATGGTTTAACTTGCAACTAATGTGAAAGAGATAACCGATAGTGATATTTTTTTTAGTGCTGCAGGTGTGCCGAATGTGTTTATGTCAGGTTAGACTCTGTAAGAAGCTCATCAGAGTGAAAACAAATTAAAACGATTTATGACGTTCTTGGGTAGTTTACCTGGCAAATAAGGATTAAGATTTGTGAATACAGTTGTAAAGTAATTATATCTCGTTATCTTAAGAGGTTTATCAAGATGTCTAGATAAGCCCAGAAGGAGTCATTGGGTCTACAAGAATATTAACCACTTAAATAGTGCTTCCTGTCTATTTTATCATTTTAATTTAGACCTTAAACTTCGAAGGAATTTGTAATTGATCTCTCAATAATTTGACAATAGAATCAATATAATATTTAAGATGACGTCACCAATTTTTTGGAGGCGATGAACAGAGTAATTTTAGTAAAATTTTGTTTGAGTGTTTACAGAAATTACGGTTTGAAGACAAACGTCATATAAAGAATCCATAAATCTAAATTCCTTTCAAACTCTGGCTTTACCCGAAAAAACCAAATCCCTCATTGACGTCAATGCGCACCCTTTTACCTGAGAATAGTCTGCAAGTGTCGGCAATTCTTTTTCATCTCATTGTTCATTTCCCTGCTCACTTCATGCAAATTCCTCGACTTTCCAACCCCCTCTTCCACCCTCTTGCGACTCGTCATAAACGCCCCCTGTAAAATCGTCAAATGCGCCGCAATAAAATTCATTATATTCATAAAAAGACTGTCCATCCCAACAATGCTATAGGCGTAAGAAAACATGGGTCCCGCTTGATAGCCCAGCGCCAATAAATACATCCCGGGCGTCAAATGGCTGAAGGGCATCCAACTAAAGTACGGAAGTCTGTAATAAAAGGCACTCGTCTCGTTTCCGTAAACCGGGGGATGGAATGCCGCCGTCACCAGCGGCGGCACGTACGACGAAGACAGCGTCATATGCGCCAACATCAAAAACCCCAACGTGTACTTGAACCCGGTTTTGCGGTACTTGGCCCAGATTTCGCCAGGGCGATAACCTTCGCAACCTTTGTACTGAAACTCGGGGCTTTCTAGGGTTTCCATGAGCTGTCTGAGGACGTGTCCTTGGAAAAACCAAAACGTTACCTTCACGGCGCCCATGAAATGGGTGAGGAAGAAATTGACGTTTTTGATGAAGTCGTCCAAGTTCTTGTAGGTGTAGAAGAGGCTGAAGAATTCGGTGGATGTGAAATACAAGTTCACGAAGAGGAATACGATTATTGCGTAGATTTTGTAGGGGATTTGGATGAATTTTGACGGGCTGCTGGGTTTCCAGAGGCCGGCACAACGAAGGATCCATCGATTTACGATGAAAACGTCTTTCGTGTACGCGTCGGGTGACATTTTATCAGTATGTAGTCGGTAATTTTCGACTTTTATAGGAAAGGAGACAACGGAGTTTATTATTTAGATGTGGATAGCTGGAAGTCGTGCGCTTTGTAATTTAGCACCTTTTAATATTCACAAAGTAATTGTGTCATTTGGTGGCAGTGGTGCATATGATTTCGGTATAAAATATGCAGCAGATCGACGCCTTAAATTAAACAACGATTTGACGTACCAGGATATTAAAAAAAAGCTAATATTAAATGATTAATCAATTAACCTATTTAGGAGACGAAATAGTGCATTGTTATACTTTTTTTTTAAGAAAACCATAATTTTAGGATTTCTATATAACTAATTATTATGATTTGAATTAATGAAACGTTAGTTCATGAAAATAAATGAGCTCTAAATTTGTACCCCTATCTCACTGGGAACAGATAAAGAAGCACTTGTTTCTTTTGTATTTGTATTGTTGTATTTAGTTTCACTTGTATTGTTTTAGAACCAATGTTTTTTACGCAGTGTTGTTAGTCACTTAAATTAAAAACTTAATTTAAAATCTAAAAAAAAAACAACGCAAATTTCAGTTTAAGTCATCTTAAAAAATAGTTCGTATTAAAATTAAGACATATTTTCGTTCAATATTCGCTTAACTGGAGTGCATCTAGGTGTACAATTTTTCAAGAAGAAAACTCGTCTGCGTTTGCAAGTCCCTTTTCTCTATTACTTTTTCTTCCACGACTTCCATTTTCTCATTTTTCATCTCTACTGCTGAATCTGCGGTGAGCACCTTGAAGTGTTGGCCGATATTTTTTTTCTCCAGACTGTCTACATTCACAAGCTTCGACACATAATTCGGCGATTTTTCAATAGCGTCTTTTATGGACTCGAGAGTCGAGCGCCGCATTTTGGGTTGCTGCAATTTTTAATATCAATGAGTGCCTTAATTTTATTCAACAGGCAACATTTCGCGAATCAGTGACGTGAAAAATGTATCCAATAATACGCGAAACATTTCTTGTCGAATAAATGCGAAGAGGTGCTAGTACGGAGATCATTGATTCCAAAGTTCTAACACTGGACAACCGCTTCCTCGTGTTTTGCTTCAAATCTTCCTATTAATAAATGAATTGTGTAAGATATCTGCACAAAAATGTAAAATTTTTGTATTACCCACCGTTTTTGCGAAAGTCGAACTGTGAATTTTTTTACGCATGCGCTCCAGACCCCTTTGTTCCGAAAGGCGCTTCCTTTTCAAATCGTCGTCCGATTCGTTCAGCAGCAATTTTCGAGAAGCCTGCAATACTTCAATATTTTCTGCAAACGAAGCATCTAGAAATTATGATAATCACGTTCGACAACTGTGGCGACGGAACTCTGCTTTCGGTGGTTACTGCTTGCATGGAATTGTCTAGGCTGGAACGAATTGTAGAATTGGGAATTGAAGTCCCGGATAAGAATCTGGATTGGCCGCTTATGGAGCTTCTGTGAGAACTCTTTTCAGAGACCTGGAACACACAAGAGTAAAATTCGTGCATGTGTGGACTGAGTGAGGGCTACGTCTCTTTTTAATAGCGCTTTTTGTTTCTGGGCCATTACTCTGGTTGTGATTCCGAGGTGGAAAGGATGAGGTGCTAACTCCTGTCGAATGGATTTTGGAGGTTGTTCTGACATGACAAAAATTTTGAATAATGTGTTGACATAATAAAATGAATGTACGTTACGCCACTGGTGGCTGAAATTATCAAAGTTTATTTATCCACATTAACGATTCTGAAATCCAGTTAGACGAATAGAAACAAGTTATTAAATAATTGATCTTGCGTAATTAAATAGGATTTTTTTATTGTTTCAATAGCACAAAATAGGTGTGTAAAGACCGTCATCTGGACCAACTATACCAAATATCTAGTTCGTTTGAGTTTATTATGTTGGCGAACTTTACCACTGTTGATTTTAAGGTTATGTCACTTTTAAAAGTAGCAAAAATTGTGCACAAAACGTGAATAACATGTGTCATTATTTGTAGTAATACCGAAACCACTTATCAGAGCATCATGTTTACTATTATTAAACAATCTGCTCAATTTTTGAGGTTAGGAAATGTCCTTCGTACGACGGTGACCAGCCGGCCTGTATTTTTTTGTACCGAATCCAGTAACCCCCCTGGATTAAACATAGCCGCTATTACTAACGGGGACAAAGACTTAGAACACAAGCTCAAAATTCTAGTTCTGGAAATAGATGTTTTGAGACAAGAAGGCAAGCTGGTGCCAGATGATGACTATCTGAAGGAAAGCCACTGGAAAGAATTACTCATCTTACCATCACTATCCCAGAGGCGTAAATTTCTCGAATACCTTTTTAAAATTTCAAAGAAAAAAGAGAATAAAAAGTTGAAGAAAGAGCAGAAGAGACTGGAGAAATTCCCAGAGGCAAAACCTGAGAAAAACGAAAATGAAACTTTTGAGGAGTTTGTGTCACAGTATGATTTAGGGCACAATAATATCATGTTGAGGGTATATGACTCCACAATGAACCAGTTGTATAACAACAGACTAGTGCAAGCCATGCAGTTCGGGCAGAAACTAGTGGTGGATTGTGGGTACTGTGATGATATGACAAAGCACGAGAATAAGAACTGTGCAAAGCAGCTCACATTGCTTTTTTCAGAAAATAGGAACCACGATGGTAAAATATTTCACCTAAAAAAAAATAAATTCATTAATTCGTCGTGTTTCAGACCCTTTTGACTTACACTTTTGTAACATAAATAACGAAAGCGTCCTAATGCAAAGTCTTAACAAGTTAATTGTGACTTTGCATGAGCCCTGGTTTCCCTTGAATTTGCATGAACCTAGTTATTTGGAAAAATTTCCAAAGGAACAGTTAGTCTACCTCACTCCACATTGTCGCGAAGAACTAGTGGAATACGACCACGACGCCATCTACATTATTGGTGGCATAGTAGATAAGGTACTTAAGTATGTCTTAAGACTACACAAAAATAAATCATTTTTATTTATAGGTAAACACACAACCATTATCATTAGCTAAGGCAAAACGCGAAGGACTCAGAATGGCGAAACTCCCCCTAGACAGGTACTTACAGTGGGGCTCAGGGTCTGGCAAAAGCTTGACTCTAAATCAAGTGGCTTCAATTTTATTGGACGTCAAACTCACGGGCGACTGGAAATACGCTCTGAGACACGTCCCAAGACGCAAAGTCGTCGAATTCACTCACGAAAAAATAAACCAAAAAAATAAGTGGAAACCCAACAGAGAGAGACCAGGCTTTGACAATCTAAAATACAACCGCAGACCTAGCGACAGGATGATAAAAGTAGGAAGCATCATGAATGATTAAGTAAATAAATTTACTAGTTGTTTTGTAAATATATACACCTTATAAATAATTTAATTGCGCCGTCTGCGCACTCTCGAGATCCTCCACGCATTCGGCTCTTCATATTTGTTATAAAGCGGCTCCAATCTTTGATTCTTCTTAAATTTGCTCAATTTCGTTGGATCCGAGAATTTGAAGAACGCCGGTGCGAACTCTACCAACCATTTCGGATCAATTGTGGTCACTTCCCTCATGTATTCCTTCGTAGTTTGTACCAATTCGTGGTAAATCACCCTAAAAACGAACGAATTGGTACCAACACCCACCGTTACAAGTCCAACTTACCATTCCGGCTGCCGATTAAACAGGGCGCTCGACGGGTGGATATACACTACCTGACTGTCCACCAAAGTCCTGTACCCTTCCTGTGGATCCTTTTTCGCGGCGTTTCTGAAAAAGCCAGAACAGACAGTTTTTTGAACGCGCACCGTGTTTCTTTCCGCTGAAACCACATCAAGTTTGTGCCTGTCCATTATTCCGAGGAGTTGTTTTCGCACGTCTTGGGCCCGTTTCAGGGTTCGTATTTGTACGAAGTTTTCGTAACACCACGCGTTCGAGAATTTGTTGTTTTTCCAGCTGTTGTATACCGCGAGGAGGGTTAAATGGTCGCCTTCTGGTTGGTTGAATTTTGCTTTTTTTTGGTCGGCGATGGCTTGTTTGTCTTTGGGGCGGTAGAAGACGTTTTGGACCGACAACATACTGACGATGGTGAGGATTTCGTCAGAGCATTGGAGCGCCACGGACATGATCAGCATTTTTGAGAGGTTGGGTTCTAGGGGGAATTCCGCCATCTGTTGCAAAGATTGGGGTTAGTTGATTTTCGGGGTTGATACTTGAGACTTACCCTTCGCCCTAATCGCGTTAACAATCCTTCATCGTCTAAAGCCGACAATGAATGTAACTGTTCTAGGGCCATAATTAGGGATTCGACGGGTGGGGCGTCCATGAAATCGAAATGTAACAAATCGTTAATCCCCATGGTTTTCAACTGTAGTACTGTAGTTGCTAAATTCGTCCTCTGGATTTCCGGGACTGGAGTGGGTAACATTTCGTCCCTGTACGCTCTCTCCGTGTATAGTCTGTAGCATTTCCCGGGTCCCGTTCTTCCAGCGCGTCCCGCCCGTTGTTTAGCTTGAGCCTGCGAAATGGGGGTCACCACCAGCGAGTCCATCCCAGTCTTCGAATTGTACACTTTTTGTTTCACAAACCCTGGATCCACTACATAAAAAATCCCGTCTATGGTCAACGAAGTTTCTGCAATGTTGGTAGCAATGACGACTTTTCGACTACCAGGTGGCGCTGGTTCGAAAATACGTGTTTGCATTTCAGATGGTAAAGCAGAATATACGGGTAAAATAATCAATTCTGGAACATCCGGACCCAGAGACTTCATTCTCTCATACAAAATTTCGCAAGCGGTGTCGATTTCTTCCTGTCCCGTCAAAAACAACAAAATGTCGCCTGGGGGTTCCCGTAGGTGGATTTGCATGACTGTGATCAAACTAGCGTCCAAATAGTCGGTTTCGGGTTCTTTCGTATACAGGACTTCGACTGGGAATGTGCGCCCGGGGATTGTGAAAATCGGGGCTTCGAAAAAGTATTGGGAGAATTTGACGGCGTCTAACGTCGCCGAAGTTACGATTAGCTTGAGTTCGGGTCGTTTCGTCACTGCTTGTTTGAGTAACCCGAAGAGGACGTCCGTGTGGATGGTTCTTTCATGAGCTTCGTCCAACATAATGACAGAGTAGGCTTTGAGGTCGAGGTCCATAAGACACTCGCGCAATAACATACCGTCTGTCATGTATCTATAAATTGACAATAGTTTGATATTTTATTAATTTGATTTTACTCAGTACTTACTTGATTATAGTTTCCGGACTCGTGCAATCCTCGAACCGAATCGTGTACCCCACCTCCTGTCCCAACCGACAGCCGAACTCCTCCGCCACCCTCTTCGCCACCGACATCGCCGCCACCCTCCTCGGTTGCGTACACCCAATTTTCCCCCTCGCCGTGAACCCCGACTCGGCTAAATACTGAGTAATCTGCGTCGTCTTCCCCGACCCCGTCTCCCCAATAACAATCAAAATCTGGTTATCAGTCACCGCCTTCCTCAACTCCTCTTTCAACTTATAAATGGGCAAACTCTGCCTCTGCTCCAGAATACTCAAGTTCGTCTTCTTCCCGAACGACGACTTCTTCCCCCCAATCACGTGTTTCTTCCACTCCGGCAGATCCTGACTCTGCAACCCGATCCCCCTCGCCGAATTCAGCTTGCTTTCATCCTCAGGAAGCGGATCAATCCAGTTTTTGTTCTTCCCCGACGGCTGCGAATCCATCTCCTGCTCCCGCTGAAGCATCTTCTGCTCGCGTCGCTCCTTAGCCAGCGCCGACTGCATCATAGCGGCTTGCGCCAACGACCCGTCCGGGTTTTTCACAATCCGTACAGGACTCAAATCGTGAAGGGCTCTTCCATGTCCTTGCAGGAACGGCGGCTCGTCTTCCACCAGCTCGATTTCTATATCAGCTTCTCCGTCTTCGTCCTTCGGTAACAAGCCAGTTTCGTCGTCGAAATCAGGCAGTTCGCTTTTGTCGATGCAACCCGACGAAATCATCTGTTTGATCTCCCAGCGTTCGGGGCTAGAGATTCGGGTGACTCTCTTTCGGGAGTTTTCTTCGTTCTCGTCGATTCCTACGGGAAGGCGGAGGACTGAAGTGCCGCTGTTTATGGGTCGGTCGGGGTTTCTATCCTTGTCTTCGCGCTCGGGAGGGGCGTGGGATAGGGGGTTGAGGTCTTTACCGGTGGTTTGGCAGACGTCTTTCATTGAAAGGGAGACTTTCTGCCCGGTTACCGAGAGGACTTTTATTTTGACTTTCATGCCGCGGGAGACTACTTCGGAGGGGTTGGTGACGCGGCCTTCGGCACGGAGTTGGGAGATGTGCACCAGGCCTTCCCAGCGGCGGCGCAAACCTTCGAGTTGGACGAAGCAGCCGAACGGGACGATGTTGGCCACTTTTCCTGTGTAAATCTATGAGAAAGGTTAGTACATGGAACGTGAAGTTAAATTCAGGACTTACTTTTCCTGGAATAGGATCTTCATCCAGCTCTGGACTTTCCCGTTTTATTTTGACTTTATCTCTGCGTTTTGGTGAATAACTTCTACTTCTAGATCTTCTTCTCCTTGATCTGCTTCTACTTCTTCTCCTCTTGTCTGACCTGTCTTTGCTCCTAGACCTGTGTCTTTTCCTGTCTCTATACCTGTCTCTGTCTCTCTCCCTATCCCTATCCCTGTCTCTATCTCTCTCCCTTTCTCTGTCCCTATGTCTTACTTCACTCTTCCTATGCCTTGATCTCCTCTCACCACTACTACTCCTCTCCCTTTTCACTTTTTCTTCTATTTTAACTTGCGATGGCGCGTCTGCTTCCAACTGTGCCATTAAGTCTGCCACAACGTCATCATCTTCGTTTGGTTTGGTTTCCACTTCAGGGGTCATAGTCTTCTGGGGCTCATTTGGGATTGCCAAACCCGGGAATTTCGCAGCCAGGGAGTCTTGGGCATGATTCACAGTTGTTTTATTATTACCTTGTGTGTTTTTCTTGGGCCTCATGTGCTGTATTATTCGTAACAAGTTTGAAATGAAAGAATCCGAGAATTCGGCCCCATTTTCGACCAGGACTTTCTTGAAGGTCTCAAACGTGTCGTGCTTTTCGGAGAGGTGGATTATAAATTCGGCTGCAAAGATATTGGTGTAAGTTTTGGGTGAATTGTTTGTGGATGTGATACTAACCTAAATCTTTGTCGTTCATTCCTAAATGATTTTCTAGCTCTGTACAGACTTTGGATACCAAAGATAAATATTCTAGTTTTTCTACTTCATTCATTTTGAACGTAGTGGTACTATAAAATGAATAATAATTAAAACAAGCAACTTTTACTTGACGTTTTTCTGACGATGGTTATGTCAGCTGTCAGTTGTCACTTTTCATCAATTTCTGCACATGCGTATGTGGTGTTTTGTTCTAAAATTTAAGAATCTTGTGCTTAAATGTTGAATAACTTTTTTATTTTAATACTGTTGATAGATCGCTTATTGCACATTCACTTAAAAGAGTATTAAATTTTATTAATACCTAGTATATAAAAAAAAAAATGAATAGTGTGTATTGTTGGTTGCATAACACACAGGCAATATTTAAGTGTATTTTCGTTTATAAGCTTTGCCCAAAGTTCTTTATTTTTTATATTAAACATGCTGTATAATCTTTCAAAAACCTCGTTCAACAACGATGTAAAGAGAAGCGACTTGTAAAACCACAAATAAAGTCTGACAATCTGAAAGTTATTTCAAATTTTAAAAAAAACTGTGACCCCCAAGATTCTTTCAGATTTAAAGAGATCCCGAAGAATTTTTAAACTTATTTAAAAACAAAACCAGAGGGAGATCCTAAAATGTTTTTAAATTCTTTTAAAAACAAAAAACTTTCTAATAATCTCAAAATGATTATGGGAAGAAGGCAGTTTGTCGAGTACGGTGGATTTAAGTCTTTTGAGTTTATTGTAAATAGTAGGGTTGTTCAAGGCTCTAACTTAGGTCCTTTGCTGTTTGTAATTTTCTTCAATGATGTTGTAAAACATCTTAACTGCAAATGTTTCATATACGCAGACGACTTAAAGATAGTTAACATCATAAGATCTAATAATGATTGCTTAAAGCTGCAGGGCAATTTAGATAATTTTATTACTTGGAGTTGTATTAATAAACTAGAAATTAATAAAGACAAATGCAAAATCATGAGTTGCACGAGAAAGATAGATAAAATTAACTTTTATTATAATATCAATGGTGTACTGTTACAAAAGTGTAATGCATACAGAGATTTAGGAGTCATAATTGATTCTACTTTGTCTTTCGTCCCACATATCGAACAAATGGTTAATAGCTCTCTAAGAACGGTAGGGTTTATTATAAGAAATGGAACAGATTTTAAAGATGTATTTAGTATTAAAATATTGTTTTATACTTTAGTGAGAAGCAAACTTGAATATTGTTGCATAATTTGGATGCCTTATTATCAAGTTTATATTAACCTCGTTGAAAATGTATTACGAAAAATTGCTAAATTCATCTATTTTAAAATGTATGGTACTTATCCGCCTCAGCACTGTGATTCAAGAGCGCTATTTGATATTATAGGTGAATCCTCACTTCAAAGTCGTAGGAATATGGCATGTATATCTTTTATGCAAAAACTGATAAACGGTAACATATCTTGTACATCTATATTAGAGAGTATAAAGTTTGTTTGTCCACGTGTAAACTGTCGCACTCCAACAACATTTTATTACAAAGTACCATGTACTTATCACCATTTTAACAGTCCACTAATCAGATGTTTAAGACTGTCTAATTGTATAATACCTCATGGAGTAGACGTATTTTTTGACAATTTTTATAATCCAAGACTTAAATTAAAGCTATTAACTGTTTGTAGAAATTTTTAATTGTTTGTAAAAATTTTTAATTAAGCGTATATATTTATGTATATTTAAACCACAATCTAAGTAAACGTATCATATCATATTTTTTCCTCTGTTCACTTTAAGAACCTGTTAGTTTTAAGTTGAAATTTGTTAGTTTTTTTTTTCTGTATTAATGTTTACAAGTACGTACCTACTAATGTAACTCTGTGTGTTTCCACCATAGACGTTAGTCTGTTGGAATTAAAATTATTATTATTATTATTATTATTATTATTAAAATAAAATCACCAATGGTCCCCAAGATTTTTTGAACAAGCGAATTGAGCTCTATTTATTTATTTATTTCCAAAGATAAAACAAACTGGTCCCTGAGGTTCGTTTAATCTCGTTCAAAAATAAAACACCAGAGCCCCTAAATTTCTTTCACGTTTAAAAAAAGATTCTTTTAAACTTTTTTAGTAACAAAATACCTTTAAGATTGTCATTAATAATTATAATTGGTCAAAAAATACACCTGCGAAATTTTAAAGTCTGATTTTTCGCGTCATAGAAAGAAAACGGTTTGTGAACCTTTGTAAACAAAGCGTTCGCGTCTGAAAATAGCCCAATAAAAACACGATGACTTTCCTTCCATCAAATTGCCTTAAAACGCCGCACAATGATCTCCCTTTATCGTTTAAATTTGCTCTAGAGCAGCATTTCCTCGAAGCATTATGAGAGTGTGCGGATGTCAGCTCATATCCTCGACACAACAATAGTCTGAAATAGGCTGCAATCGGGGTATAGTCAAGTACTATTGTGATAAGGAGTGATAAGACAACAGTCCATTATATCAGGGGTGTCCGATATCAAGTCGGGGAAGATTGAGGTGTCGAAAGGGCGTTAAGTACCTAGCCAGCTGACGAATCTACACCCAATCATCCCCAGCAGAGAAAATAAATTCAGATCAGATTTTCTTTTTCGGTTTGACGCCCCCATATGTAAAAATCATATAAGGCACACCCTCACGTAATTATGGTCTAATGTATGCCAAGCATTGGGTTTCACATCCGCCGGGTTAAATGTGTTAATGGATTTACATACGGCAAACACAGGAGACTTGTCGTGTTTGGTTTGGTCACATATGTCATTTTATTAGTGAAAAATGGGTTAAATTGACTAGAAAGTGGGCAAATAAAACGAAAAGAACAATTTCTTATGTGGGAGACGGGTTTCCCCTTTACCTTTTTAGACCTGGGCGAGGCTTAATTCCACTTTTGATGTCGTCTTAGATGGGATTACGCGACACCATAAAAAGAACAACGACGCAAAAAATTGAATCAAACTTCAGTGTTCGATCAGGGGTGGAAGGAATCTTGTCCTAGCTCTGAATTTTTTTATATTGTGACGCACTTTTACAAGTCCATCTGTTCGGTAACCGGAGTATATCGTCACTTATCGTCACATTAGCACGGTACAAATCGACCAGTCAACATTTCGTTCGTTTTCTCCCGACCTCTCCACAATAAAACAAATTACCAGTGTAATCTACTTCTCACAAAGAAATCCGTGATCCCCGTGTGGTCATGATTTAAATGAAGTTGGCGGAGCGTGTTCGTCGAGGGATTAAGAATCTTTCGGCATGTTAGAGCCATTCTTAAGTTACTGGAGCTTTTCATTCGGAGGATTTCAAGAGACCGCATCTAACACGAACCACAAACATTCGATATAAAACGTGAATAAACACCCTGTATTACAAATTAAACGAATTTACTTTGACGAGCCGGTTTTAAGCTGGAGGTTCGGGGGCTATTTTGAATATTGCGTGTTACGCTTGAGGGCTCGACGAGGGGAGAGGTGAGAATTTTGCTGCTGGATCTTGAAAGAATGCCACCTTTTTGTCTTATCGACGGCCTGGGAGGTTCCACTTTCTCATTTTTCTCCTCATTAAGTAGTTAATGATTAAAGTCCAATATTTACACAGTGATCTGTGTTATAATTGTGTTTTTTTTTTCGCGTTTGAATCACAAATCTCGGATATTTTATTATTATTTAACCGACTCGGGTTCATTTATTGGGTATTCAGTATAACTGATATTTCCGTGTAAACTCCGAAAATATTAATAACGAATATTTAATTTTTCAGTTCGTGAACAATTAAGCTAATTTATGTTAAAAAACATTTCCCGGTGTGTAACGTCCAACAGTTGTTGTTTAGGATTTTTCATTTATTGAGCGTCTCTCAATAAAGCGTTCATTTTCAGTCGGTAATTCTTAACTCTCTATTAATCGTTATCGTTGAAAGAGGTTGTTTACGAAGAGTTTTGCGCTGCTACAATTCTGTTTTCTTATGTGTTGTGCAAATAACTATTTTTTAACAGATGTTTGGAGAAGTAATAAGTTCTGATCTCTCGAACAACAAAAATAGAAAATTTGTTGTTTCAATTATCTACACTCTGTAGTATCTTTTCTTGTTTGGCTAAATTTAATATCAGTTTTCACACAAACATGAAAGCTTGCCTTGGAGGAATTTTTCAAATATGATGATCTCGTCTTTCATGCATGTGTGTTTAATGAAATTTCAAACAAATAAGGGAATTTTCGCTGAGAGTCTTGACTTTAAGTCCCAAATTAAATACAAATGAAGGCTGAAATTGTGATAAAAAAGGTTACAAAGTAATAACAGTTAGACTTTTATTGTACAATACAATTAACGTGATCGAGATTATTTGTAATTAAGTCTTACCCACTTGAAGGAAGGGGTTATACGATACTTCAAGCTTCGCATCGAAACTGAAGGGCAGACTCTTGCAAGCAGGCAGGTTTCAGAATTCGGTCGAAATAAATGTAATTGACTGCTCATTTAAAATCTACTTATGTCATTATTTATATTATCAGTCATCACAAAAGAAAACTCACAAAAGATAGTCCGAGAGTCTGCAAACCACTTTAAAAATAAGACAAGGGATCCCAAATTATTTCAAAATAAAACAAAAGGGGTTTCTGAGATTCTCAAACTACTTCAAAAACTAGACACGAGAGGTCCTCGAGATTCTTTTAAGCTACTTCAAAAATAAAACAAAAGGGGTCCCTCGAGATTTTTTCAGACTATGTACTTCAAAAACCAGACAAATTACGTCACAAACAAAACAAAAGGGGTCCCGAAATTTTTTTAAACTACTTGAAAAACAAAACAAAAGTAGCCCCCAAGATTTTTTAAAACTATTTCAAAAACCAGACACAAGAGGTCCCCAAGATTTTTTTCTTTCTTCAAGTATATACTTCAAAATAGACACAAAGGGCCCAGGAAATTCTGTCAAATTACTTTAAAAATAGGACTCACAGGGGGTCCCCGAGACTCTTTCAAATTACTTCAAAAATCAGACTCAAGGGATCCCCGTGATTCTTTCAAACTACTTCAACAACAAAATAAAACAGGTGTCTGAAATTCATTCAAACTACTTGCTTCAAAAACCAAACACAAGGGGTCGCGAGATTCTTTTAAACTACTTCAAAAACAA